GCTGCCTCCCCCGGGGAGGGGCGCCCCCGCCCCCTCCGTGCCCCGGCGCTCCCCGCGGGCCACCAGCTGCAGCCCCCAGCCCCGCGGGGCGGGATGGGATGGGATGGGATGGGATGGGATGGGATGGGATGGGCAGGGCAGGGGGAGCCCCCTCCCAGCAGCTGCCCAACAGGAGGGCGTTAGGGCAAAACAGCAGCACCCCGACGCGGCTGACTTGGGTCTGCTGCATTTAGTTGTCTTCCTAGCCGGACTGGAAAGGGTCGTGCAAGCAAAATAGCTGGAGAAAATGAAATATAAAGCTTCTCCCAGTAATGAAGGCTCTGAATGCTCGATAAACATCCGCAGTATTAACAGAAGAGATTGATTTCTTCCTTGGTTTATGATTCCCTACACAACCTGTAGATAGAAGTGCTTGCTCGTGTCCGAGCGTGAGGTTTGGCGGGATCACAGCTCCCGATCGGGCCACGCGTCAAGGTTGCCCTCACAGGGCCAGAAGGCAGCCCTGTCCTGTGCAGGCAGCGGGCCGGGACTCACCGGAGGATGCACTGCCCCGTTCCCCGTGCTCAGACATAACCCACGCCTCGCCTCTTTGGGACAGGTCCCCTCCTCGTTACGCAGCAGCGCGCAGCACCGGCTGTAGCGGCACCCTGATGCGCCGCAGACCTCGGAGATCCGTGCTTCGCCGTCAGAGCTCAGCCTGGCTAAAGCTTCAAGGCTGGGTGTCAGTCACTGCTTTGCCCTGGGAGCCCAAGCACCCTCATCCTTTCCAAGTTTCATACCCAAAGAGCCCAAGAAACTGTCAGGCACCACATAGCTCTATTCCCAGGCCTCTGAGGGCCGTGTTTATAGTGCAGTGGATATTTCAGCAGATTGAACTGAAATCTTTCAACGAGTCTTTCTTAGCGCTCTGCTTCAGCAATTCCAGGAGCCAAAAAAATCACCGTGCAACCTGTTTTATACCCAAATCTCACTGTTGATCCATGAAGGATGAAGAATTTTCATGAGAAAGTTTACCAGGCCTAGCAACGGCTTTCCCATTTAAAGAACTAAATTTCATTTTTAGAATTAGGTGTTTTTTTAAAAAAAAGATAATTGCCAGTCATTCTGCACTCAAATTTGCAAGAGAACCTCACAAAATGTTTGTTTCTCGGTTGGTTTCCTACAGGAAAGGAAGAACAAAAATCTGCCTGCTTCAGTCAAAATAAATATTTATGTTGATTTTAGTGTCCCTGGGAAAATATTTGTGTGATCAAAGGAAGTTGTTGACCAGATCTTCTGGGGAAAACACACCCCAGTTGTTTATAGTCTGTGTTTGCTGGCTTGTCCCCTGCTATAAAAGAGAAGCAGTGAAGTTAAGTGGCAACAGCTATTAAGCCTACAGATAAAAGCTGCCACCAAGTGTCCATCAGAAATAATTTCCCCCTATTTTAAGTACATCCCAGTATCCCTTAAACAAAGTACTTAGGTGCCTTAAATTAAGGCAAAGAAAACACTAGCTTGTCTTTTTGCTTAAAACTGAGCACGTGCTTAACTATTTTGTTGAAGGACAGCCGGAGCATTTCTTTACAAGTAGTCTGTTCATGCTTCGTACAATTATATATTAATTTTCTGTAAGAGCTTTTATATACATTTATTATATCAGTATAATTCACAAATTTTTTTTACAGTGTAAATCAAACCAACAATATCATTTGAAAGAAAGAGTATCAGTTCTTTGAAAAAAAGTTTCAATGATATGAACATGGTGTAGAAACTCATGTTTTCAGAAACTCATGTCCATAGCATCTATTGATTTAAAGCTCTTGTATTTTTTAAATCTGAATTATTTTTAAAAATCTTGAGATTCCATGTGAAATAGAAAACTGTTCCATATAATGTTGGTTTTAATTTTGCAGCCAAAATATTTTATTCTTCCAGAATGTGGTCCATGTGTTTCACTTGTTCCATTTGAAAAGAAATCAAGGATGATGTATCAAAAGTTTCCTCCAGTAACTGCATTGATATTAAAAATGGAAACAAACGATGAATAAGGTTCTCCTTTCCGTAGCACGGCTGTTAGCAGGGCTCAAATAGACTGCCCTCTTGGTTTAAAAAAACCCCAACCGGCAGCGCGTTCGATATCATGAACTATTCACAGTAACAAGTTAGAGACAGCAGTAATTCCACACTGGATAAGAGCTCATACATAGCCTTGAACCTTGGAATTGCTTTATTTCGAAGGAGGGAGTGCCAGCAAGGCCATGTACATACACCAGGGAATCCAGTACTGTTCTGTCTGATAGGCAAATGAACAACACACCGACATTAACTTCTTGATATTGTAAAAACTGATGGCAGCTACAGTATATCTTTTTCCATCCAAATCCTCATCAGGTTCTGATATAATGGGTAAAGCTTGAGTTAAAATATAGGCACTAGCCACAACAGAACTGTGTTGATTTAATTTTCAAGTGTTTTAAAAAACATACTGAGAGAGATAAAGGAAAAATCCCATGGAAATTCCCAAAGTAGGTTTGCACGGGGTTTATATTAACTTTGAGAAGTTTTATGTTACTCTTTCATCATTAGTAAGTCATGGTTGGGTAAAGCACAGGTGCAAAGTCAGTAAAGCTTCACTGACGTAAATTGGGTTTGTAAGTCAATGGAATTGTTAACGTTGAGGCTTTTTTCCCTTAAAAATCAGTTTAACTAAGCAAGTTAACATCTTTACCACTAGCGCTACCACTCTGAGTGCTGGGGCAATAAAATCGCTTTTAGGCGACAAAGCTGTCTGAACATAACTGAGGACACCAACTGCAAAGTGACCAAAAAGCGGCTCAGGCACCACGCATCTTACCTGCCAGCGCGAAGGGCTCAGAAGAAGCAGGGGCTCAGCTGGGGAAGCAGCGTGGTGGAAATACTGCGGTAAAGAGACAGCACCAAGTGCAGAGCCAGGCTGCGCCTGCGTCAGCAAGGGGCTAGGCTGTGGGCTTGTTAGTCAAGTGTCAGGTACAACACGGCATCCGCTCGTGCCTGTGCTCCTGCCAGGGAGGCTGTATGTGTCAGGAAGACGTCGAGAAGGCTTGTTCACGCCTCCACCTCACCTGCTACTGGAGGTGGAGCGGAGCTTCCCTCATACCCAGCAAGGAGGCCAGTGCAAACAGGGGCCACCGTGTAGCTGCAGGGGCCCAGCGCTCCCCAGGGCTCCTCCTTCCCCAGGTGAGCAGCCCAGCTTGTTACTACCCAGGTGCCTCCCATTCCACCAGGATGCCAAAGCCAGATTGGCTCAGCAACAGCTTGAGCACTAATTTAAGCCAATTTGAGTGCTTTTACACTGTGCAATGGTTTAGAAGAGCTTTATCAACTCTGGTTCTCCATATCCACCCATGCTTTCCACTGCCCTGCCTGCGTGGTTCATCTGTCACTTCTCATGCGTTTTTGTTATCTGATCTATCTTAATGAATCTAGTGTTTCTACTGAGTTAGTTTTCTGTAACTTTAGAGAGTGATATTGGCTCATACAGGGACCTGAAGCCAGCACAAAGCAAGCAGTGAGGAGGTACAGCCCCAAGCAGCAAGAGGTAAGCGAGGCCTCTTCCTTCAGCAGTGTTAAACTGGGGTGATGGGATCTGTGGACTTGTGCCCAGACCTGGCTTGTCCTGTTTCCTCCAAGAGCCAGCACTGGCGGGGCTGAGCAGTGAGGGCCTAATCCAGCAAAAAATGCCCTGGGGAGGATGCTGTGAGCTGTGTGGAGCTGTGCCCTCGCTTTACTGGCTTAGCTGGGTCGGGTTAGCTCCATTAGCAAGCTGATCGGAGGCACGGGAGCTCTGTGCCCTCGCAGATGGCGGAGGCGAGAGCGGGGTTGCCCCTTTCTGTGTGGGGTTTGTGGGTTTGGAGAACTGCGACCTGCTTTCCTCCGCTATTGGTAGAAGCAAGCTATGACTCTTTTTTTTTTTTTTTAAAGACAATGTTGTATGATTAGGACTGTCCTTAGGAGCTGTAACTATTAAGCCTGGCTGGCTGGTGTGAAGGGCTTTAACCCCAGTGAGCTGCTGTTGGGTGTGTATCCATGCCAGACTAAGCCTGTGGCAGTGCAAGGAAAGAACAGTATTGCAGACAGTATTCTAGCGTTTAAAGACAATGCTGCTGTGCTTCTCTGTAGCTTGAAGAGCCTGTTTTAGTCAAAGGCTTTTAAATAGTTGCAGTTCCTAGTTTTCTGCTGATGCTGAGTGGGTTGAGTCAGGGTGCTTCTGCCTTGCCTTGGGGCACTGAGAGCCCCCAGGGGAGGCTCAGGGGCCTGTTGCTGCCCAGCAGCCTGAAACACCTGAGCTTGGTGCCTGAGAACTGGCACCATGCAGGAGCCAGCCCGCCCTGAATTTCCCCTTCAAGCACGCCATCCCCTCGCCCCTGCTCCTTCCTGGTCTGAGCACTCATTTCCTTGTTCCCCCTCGCAGCCAGGGGTTTGCGTGGAAGTTGGAAGCTCTGTGAACATACCCTTCCTTGTGGAGGTCTTCTGCTTTTCAACCTGCCTGCCAAGCAGCCAGGGGACATGGCCTCTCCTGCACACAGTTGCTGAAAAATGCACTTCCCACCCTGCTGATGCTGTGCAGAGTGCTCGGAGA